TGAAGACAAAAAATGTGTAGCGGATGAGAAAGTCTCCTAAAAATCACAATACGCTTTCAGTTTTTCTGCTCCCTAATGTTATCTTCTTTTCTAAGACGAGCTACAAAATCTGTAGGGATACCGAGTAGCTTCTCCTCTTGTTTCTCTTATGGACTCTCCTACTGCAGAGCAATGCAGGACGCGAACTGATTGGTCATGGCTGAATTGCAGTGGAGAGGGTGCCGAAGGTTATGTGGGAGTCTATTTCTCAAGTCCTATGGGAGAGAGTTTTATAGAAAATACAACAATAAGATTGAACACCCTGGCAGGAAGCACTCAAGGTCACAAAAATTTCTTGCCGTTCTTTCCACTTTTGGTGGCTTCGAAAAGCATAATATGACCATGACTACAAGATCTTTTGGTAGGAAAATGGAGTAGTAATGAACCACACAGAGATATTAAGGAAAGGAACTATGCTAGATGATGATGTACCTAAGAAGACAACATTGCACTGCAATATCTAAATGTTTGGTTGAAATTCAGATACTTGTTTCCTGAATCTACCTCGCCGACTAAATGAACCTGCATTCTGTAACCTTAAAAGAATTTAGAGCAAAGCACAACCACTAATTTAACAGTTGCCCAACAATAATGAGGGGATAACCGAAATAGAGAATTGGGGATCAACCTAACTGGGAGAAGGTAACAAAAGGGATAGGTGGAAGTAGTGGAGACGGTGCTTGTCAATGTTCGATGCATATAATAGAACAAGGTAGAACAACATCTGAATCATGAACGTAATACAAAATTTATGTTTAATAAGGATATGTGCAACTCCTCAATAGTCGGTTAATCATTAAGATAAAAGCGGAATGAACCACATGTACCAGCAAAAAAGGCTTTCATATCAGCATCTTTGCAAAAAACACAACCTAATACTCCATGTATAAGTAATAAAACAATTATCATGCAAAAAGCTAAACAAACCCAACTATGGCGATGGGCGGATGAGGGGTTCCTGATGACACAGGACATCGCCGGTACAGGAACTGAAGGCAGTGCCCGTCAAAACAACATCTGACACTGTCCAAAGCCACCACCAGTTGTACTCCTCCCTGATTCCACCACCACCAAGCTCCTCCCTGATTTTGGTAATGGAACCATGTATGTAAAGGGACAAAATAATTAAAAAAAGACAAACTCGATAATTCAAGGCTAATAAGGGATAGTTTGAAGTCAATAGTTTGTACTTAATTTGTAATACCTTCTAAACTACATTAATCTGAATCGAAGCATTAGCCTTTGTTTTGGTATACCACTTCGTGACATCTTTCTTGGACCAGGACCATTTCCAACCAATCAGAACAAAAAAAGACCAGAAACGGATATGTACAATTTTATGAATAAAATGGATAATGATCTGTGCTGCCTTACCAGGTTTGAATTTCATCTCTCACTATCTCAGTACTTCTTCATTCATCTCCATTCTCCAGGGATGACTCATGCATCTTCAATCCTAATACACATACATTTAGGGCCATCAAATCCAAGAAATTACAGAACTAAGAGATGAGCTATTGCAGAAACTAACCAGGCATGTTAGTCATTGCAACAGACTGTGCATCCACTGTGAAGCATGTCAAGGAAATATACAAAGGACCATCTAAAGTCATCAACAGGGAGATCAATTTGAAGTGTGCAGGTTTTGCATCGGTGCAAATTACTCATGAGAATCGAATTCTGGATGTTGAAGCACATATGTTAGCTAGAGCTACTACTACTTTAGTTTTTGGACGACCGGTTTGTCTGTCAGTTAGACCAGATTTTATTGTGATTCCATCGAACATTTTGACTGAATAAAGTGCTTCAGCCCTTAAAAAAAACATGTCCCTTTAGTCACTGGAAACAGTCTCCTAGAATTCCATGAAGAAATGGACAGAATCAGGAAGAGGCTTTGAGAGATGAGGAGGGGCCGTTATTGCTATTCCTTAAGAAATTGAGAGGCTCATGCAGTTTGTAGTGAATCTTGTACTGGATCTGGTATGGATGAACATTGTGCTTAATTGATGAATATAGATGAAGAGAAAAGAGAGAACAAGATGGCTCACATAGATGGCGTCGGCAGCAGCCAGCAACCCCAGGGAGTAAGGCGTCTGCGCTGGCAGTCCCGGCCGTCGTCGGGGGTGTGCGGGGTCCTGCCGAGCAGAATATCGGCGGGCGGGCGGCCGGCGCAACCCCTGGTCGGCAGGGCTCAGTGGTGGCGGCTTCCTCCGACGGCTACGGCCGCGGCTTCGTCCGACGGCTACGGCCGTCGCAACCCCAGGTAGGCAAGCGCGGGGGCGTGCGGCTTCCGCCGGCTTCGGTGGACTAACCTTATAGGCAGCCGGCGTTGAAGTGGAGGATCGAAGAGTGTCGGCGGAGGCCGAGTTGAGCGTCGGCGGCGGGTGATTGGAGCGACGGCGGCGTGGAGGATCGGAGCGGCGGCAGAGTGGGGGATCGGGGCAGCGACAGAGGAGTAGAGGATTTGAAGTGGAGGTCGTGCGGCGAGCGATTAGAGAAACGTGGAGGAAGAGAGGGCGATTGGAACGACGCACAAGAGAGGAGCGGGCGAAGGTCATGCTGCGGGATGTGCGGGGCAGTTTTTTTTTTTGACGAAGGGCGGGCAGGATTAGTGGTCAATGGATTGTGGCTTGTTAGCGTTAAACATAGAGGGATTATGGACCATTAGATTGCATGATTAGACGGCTAAGATTGTTTGGATCTGCCCATCTCTATCTTTTATAGTGGTAGTAGATAGATAGTAGATAGTAGATAGATAGATGCATCGGCACCCCACCAGAGACCAACTTCCTCAGCGACATGGTAACACGTACGGCTGTCTTATGCATCACGCGCGGTACTAGCCTTCCATCCACAGGCAAGTCCAGTCCAGTCCTGTGACGCGTTAACTGTAAGTGGCGATTGATTCCAACCAAGGCATGGCCCGGTTGACTTGGGCGCGCGTCAGCCCTCTTGGCTTCACGTCCGTGGCCTTCACGCACCGCCCTGTGCCTGTCGGAGGCCTTTTGAATAACATATAGTAGTATTTACTATCTCCGTCCCAAATTTAAAATTATAATTTGGGACAGAGGAAGTATCCTACTTATCACTGTTGTACGAATACTTCGTTCCCAACACACCGCAACTCCTTTTGCGGAATCAACACAGCGCAAAATTTATTTTATTTCAGATTTTATGTTGGCATGGTGTAAACGTAGGGATTCCGTACAAGTTTTGCGTGACGGAGACGTGGCGGAACATAAATACGTTTTCGGCGGAATACGTGGAGGCGTGTCTCCGATTCGGCCTGCGTACGTTTTTGTGCGAGCATTCTTAAATCGGAGTGTATTGGACACATCGACGTATTTGTGATTTTAGTACAGTGCACATTGACGTATCTGGTGTGGTCAAAGTTTTGCTCTTCCTTGGTTCTCAAAAAAAAAAAGTTTTGCTCTTCCATGGGAATGCGATGGACGGGATAAGATGGACGAACCCAACACACGGTACCGCGTCAATGGATTATCCTGGCTTAGATCGCTCGTGCTGACACGCAGATACGTGAGAGTGACCGTGGAAAATATACTCTATGCCAGCACGGCGGCCGAAAGGGAATATATATGGTAGGATTCTTTTCTCTTTTGCGAATGAAAATGGACATAAAAAGAAAAGGAAGGATTCGAGATAAAGATAAGAAGAAATTATCCCGCAAAAAAAAAGATGAGAAGAACTTGAACTGAGCCCCGGTCAACTCCCAAGCCGCCCTGGAACCGGACGAGACTTGCCTGCTCCCCTGGCGTGTGCCCATCCGTGCTTCCGCGTATGTGGCTTAATTTGATTGGACAAAATAAGGCTCGACCCCACCCTCTTAAAATCAGAAGGAGAAGATGATTAGATTAGACAGAAAAGAGGAAAAAAGACAACCGTAGGATGAAGTGGGAGCACGGATTGGAGCATGAGGAGGAAGCTGGCAAGCCGGATCACCCCGAACTAGAGAGCAGATGTTTTAAAACATGTTTTTCACCCTAAAAAATGTGTTTTTCTTGTCTGTAGTCCAGACTTTTTGAACTCCTCTTGCTTTTGAGCAAAGCACACCTTTTTTTTAGACAAGAGCAAAGCACACCTGTGGACCTTTTTTTGGAGTCAAGCACAGACGATTTTCGGCCCAAGGTAGAAGATGGGCCGGCCCATTAAAATGTGTCTCTGCTGGATCAGACGTGACGGGCCATCGCGGGCCGGCAGGGGAGCCTGCGGTGCGCTATGCGTTATTAGGACGCGAAGAAACCACCATCCCCTCAAAAAAAACTAAAACGACGCCAAGAAACAAACCAAAGACGCCACGCGGCTGCATGCAGCACGACGCGACGCGAACGACGCAGCGCCCCCCACCACAACCGCGAGCGCACGGTTGCCTCCGCCCCGCCCTCCCCTCGCCGACAACCCCGCCAACCACCTCCCGCGCGCTGCCGTCGCCAAGGGGCACCGGCCGGCCGGCGACCCACCGCCGTCGCCGCCTCCTCCTCCGCGCGATCGCTGACGACACCAAGGTGCGCTGCTGGATCCGGCAGAGGCCGGTTGCATGTGACGCGCGATCGATCCGTAAGTCTCCCTCGCGCGTGTCATCTCAATTTCCTCCTCGCTCCGGCCGGCCACCGTCGCCGTGCGCCGTGCTCGCTTGGCTCCGGGCCTCTTGATTAGACGCCGTATCTCTTTGCATTGCATGCAGTTTGGGGAATTATTTATTGCAGTGTGTCATTTCGCATCTCAAAAGATCACATTTGGTACTGATTGATCGCAGATCAAAATGCAATCCGCCAAGTACAGCAGAATTCTTAAGATGCATGCTGTCGATTAATTCATCGAACGTGCAGAATTGATTGATCATCCGGTGGACTGAATCTAAATGAAATGTTTGCGTGCGTGCGCAGTTCTTTCATGGGTAGATGGTCAGGAGATCCAAGAGCACAAGGTAGAGGAGGCAGGGGATGGAATTTTCCGCCCTTCTGACTTCGGCGGGCATAAACATCGCCTTGTGCATTCTCTATCTGTCCCTCTACTCCATCCTCCGCAAGCAGCCGCACAACTTCCGCGTCTACTTCGGCCGGCGGCTCGCCGAGGAGAAGTTCCGGCAGCAGGTGGACTACTTCTCCTTCGAGAGGCTCCTCCCCACCGCCGGCTGGCTCGTCAAGGCGTACTGGTGCACCGAGGACGAGATCCGACGCGTCGCCGGCCTCGACTCCGTCGTCTTCCTGCGCCTCTTCATCTTCAGGTCAAATTCCATCTCCCTCTGATTGATTAACGAACCACCATTGTTTGCTTGTTTCTATGTTTCTTTTACTTACAATTACATGCTGCCTGCTTGCTTTGCTTGTTGCGGACTGATGCAGCATACGCATCTTCTCCATAACTACCCTTATCTGTGTCTTTGGAGTGCTCCCTGTGAATTACAATGGCCAAGAAATGGCCCACACGCGGGTCCCAGCGGAGTCGCTCAATGTATTCACCATTGCAAATCTCAAGGAAGGATCAAGCAAGTAAGCTGCATCTTTATTTGTACCCGATCACGTTTAGTTACTGAATTCAAATAATCTGACTGACACGCGGCCTTTGTTTTTATGTACAGGCTTTGGGTGCATTGTACTGCTTTATATGTTATAACAATCTCAGCCTGTATTCTTCTTTTCCAAGTAAGACCTGTCCACAATATAATGCTGTTCATGTTTGTTACCAAAAGATTCTTACCCAAAAAAGTTCAGAGCAACCATATGCTGTAGCTGATTATACATCTTCATGTTGCAGGAGTACAGGTATATCTCAAGAAAGAGATTAGCACACATCACTGGATCAACGCCCAATCCGGGTCATTTTGCTGTGCTTGTTCGCTCGATTCCAAAGTCACACAACGAGCTTCTTGATGACACCATCAGGAATTTCTTTCTTAACTATCATGGATCTAGTTACCTGTCACATCAGATGATCTATCGAAAAGGGAAGTTGCAGAATTTTGTGGTAAGAATTCTGCTTTTCAAATATGATTAGTTGGAACTCAAATTATTTACCTATTCTCTATGAAATTTATTCTTGTGAAACTAGTCTACGGTTTTGATGTTCTCTACATTTCAAAATGATCGAATTTCTATGATGCATGTTCGCACTTCTGAGTTAGTTCGATTCAATTTCGCTGCACTGGTAAAATGTGTATGCACTACTTTTACACTTGCCGTTCAAATTCAGCTTGACACAGAAGAGGCCCTATATATACATATATGGATATCTTGTACTGACTACTTAAGATCATTTCCTCAAACTCTGTTTTTGCAGGATAGTGCCGAGAGGGCTTACAGGAAATTTGTAAGAGTAAAACTTTCGGCATTTGACCAGAACATGCGGTCTAGCTTGAACAGATGTGGTCTCTGCGGAGTACAAGCTTCCTCGTTTGAGCTTTACCGCAACAAGTTCGTCGAGGCCAAGAAGTCAGACCTCACTGATCCAGAAGTAGTCGAGGCTCAAAAGGTCATCGTTATCACTTGATCTAGTTAAAACTACTATTACTGCATGTTTAAAGTTTTGACCAGCACATTGCATGATCTCATTCTTTTTTGTCTGAACGATTTCTATGCATCCTCTCCTCATAAATAAATCTAGTCCTGCTGCCCAACAGGACTGCCCAGGTGCTATAGTGTTCTTCAAGACTCGCTACGCGGCAATTGTGGCCTCCCAAGTTCTTCAGTCTTCGAACCCTATGCTATGGGTGACAAATCTGGCGCCGGAGCCGCGCGACGTCTACTGGTCGAACCTCTGGATACCCTACAGGCAGATCTGGCTCCGGAAAATCGCGACGCTCGCGGCTAGTGTCTTCTTCATGTTTGTCTTCATCGTACCCGTCGCGTTTGTTCAAAGCATGATGCAGCTGGAACAGCTCAAGCAAATGTTCCCAAACCTGAGAGGCGCACTCAAGACGTAAGTAGTAGAATCTTAATCAATAATCATAGAGATTTCACTTTGTTAACAGGTTTGCATGCAGCTGACGACTGAGCTTGTCGCATCATGCATGCCCTGAGCCTGAAAGAAAGAATCCCTTGTTGGTGCAGGTCATTCTGCGTGAGAGTCGTAACGGGGTACCTCCCCAGCGTGGTCCTGCTGCTGTCCCTGTACACCGTTCCTCCCCTGATGATGCGCTTCTCGGCGATCGAGGGGTCGATTTCTCGCAGCGGCAGGAAGACGAGCGCGTGCACCAAGATTCTCATCTTCAACATCTGGAATGTCTTCTTTGTGAACGTGCTATCAGGGTCCGTGCTCAACCAGCTGAATGTGCTCACTAGACCCAAGGACATGCCGTCTATGCTAGCCGAGCTCGTGCCAAAGCAGGTAGGTTGGTTTCTAGGTTCTAGCTAGTGCCTTAGTTCAAAACTGCGACACTTATTTTGGATCGGAGGGAGTTCTAAGGATTAACTAACTGATGATGGGTTTGTTAATTGTGTGCTTTGTTTGGATGGGCATGGCAGGCAACGTTCTTCATGACCTACGTCCTCACATCAGGCTGGTTCAGTCTATGCTCGGAGATACTGCAGGTGTACAACCTGGTGTACAATTTCTTCAGGAAATTCATATGTTGCTACCAGGACGAGCCAGAATACGTCTACTCTTTCCCCTACCACACCGAAGTCCCCAAGGTCCTCATGTTCAACGTGCTCGGCTTCACGTTCTCGATCATGGCGCCTCTCATACTGCCCTTCTTGCTCGTCTACTTTTGCCTCGGCTACTTGGTGTACCGCAACCAGGTATATGCACATGTGTTAATAACTTGATCATCCATCCATGAAAGGAACGGACAATTTTCTTCTGAAATGCATGCATGCTTGCAGATTCTGAACGTGTACTACCCCAAGTACGAGATGGGAGGGAAGCTGTGGCCGATCATGCACAACACCATGGTGTTCTCCCTGGTGCTCACGCAGATCATCGCGCTGGGCGTGTTCACCATCAAGAAGGCGCCGATCTCCACGGGGTTCACCATCCTGCTCCTCATCGGCACCATCCTCTTCAACGAGTACTGCAGGCAGCGCTTCTCCCGCATCTTCAACTCCTTCTCCGCCCAGGTCTCATCATCATACACACATACACACATACATTCATCCATAGCACTTCATTTCCTCTTTGAAAACGAAATGCAAAACTGTAAATGTTGGGCGTGTGTGGTGTCCGCATGCAGGACTTCATCGAGCTGGACAGAGAAGACGAGCAGTCCGGGAGGATGCGGGAGATCCACGAGCACCTGCTGGACGCCTACTGCCAGTCGCCCCCGGGCAGCGCCGACGAGATCCCGATGGAGATGATCATGGAGGACCCGGCTCAGGAGGCGTCCAACTCGAGCCAGGAGCTCTGCGACACGGTGCAGGAGGTGGCCGGCTCCATCATCCAGGAGCACATCGAGGAGCGGCACGGGAGCTCCAGCGGACGCCGCTGATGTGCTGCGTTTTGGCTCTCTTTTATTTGTGCCTTGGCTAGCTACCGGCCGATCTGTGGCTTACGTACGGTCGATGAATCTCGACCTAATTATACGTGTATGTAGGGTGGGTTAGCCCAAGTAGACGACCACGATGATGATTAAGATGGAGCTAACTAACTGGCTTGTTGGATCCTATGTATGTTGTAGGTACAGGTTTGTTTCGGTTTCCGAGGGTGTCAACTGTGCAGATTAATTAGGAACTAATGGCTTACGATTTCACCTTCTTACGATTTCACCTGACACATTTGTAACGAGCTCGTCGATTAAGTATTTCCACTTCCAGTAATCGCAAATATAGGGATGAAACCACTTCAAGTAATCACAAATATACGGATGAAACCTGTGCGGATTTGGATACGGTTTTGTCGGATTCGGACATGAGTAACAGCCTCAAGTCAGAACCACATATTGCACATGCATACACGGCGAACATATTATTAATAAAAAACTGCAGCACAACTTAACCGATGTGCGCAATTACATCTTCCAAGACAGCCTTTATGTACAGAATACAACCGGTGTATAAGTTAACATATTTAAACTGAAACTATACACAAGATGAGCAAGTAGTAATACTTATGCACATTCAACACACAAAAACAGTGGAACATAGGAAGCAAAAATCCGCAACAAAACACTAACAAGCATGTGCTATCTCATAGAGAAAGATAACACTCATGTGATACAAGTTAATAGTTAAAATTTTACAGGTAAATTCGATAGTCGTATCTAAAAAAATGGATAATCCGGCTAGAAAAATCAGATTATATCATCATATGTTAATAATACTATAGCATATACCATATCTTAGCAACCGGTCTAAGTTTCGGACGGAGTGTATTTAGATGTCCAAATCTCTTGCACAACATATGCTGTTAGATTCGGAAATGATTTCAGGCAGAAATTAACCATTCACCAAGTACTCACGGCGGGTGCAAGTGGCATCCCGCCAAGTAATACTCACGGTCACGGCTACCACATGGACATGCTCAAGAGATCAGCTAGCTAAATTCGTTAGTCTACACACAATCTGAAACCTTAACACCTTAATCACCACAGAAGCTTCACACGTACCTTAACATTGTGCCACCACAGAAGCTTCAGACATAGGCAGTCAAGGCGGTCGCGATAAGTCTAGGAACGAGTAGCATGCCGTTCTTTCTCACACAAACGGTAGAAGCAAAGCAACCCGGCCGTGTTGCAGGTCTGCGTTTTAATAATTACTAGGCCGAACAAGATTATTCGAGAACATGAAGAGAACACAGTTGTGCCAAAATGCGGATTAATAATTACAGTTCAACACAGTCCTCGCTGCCTTATCATCGCAACTACTGATGCCCAACTCTACCACAGATGAGATCTGATGATCCCTCTCCTCCTGATATGCACATTCATTTGTACACACAGCGAATGCGAAGAGACAACATACTGGCAAAGGTCAGAGGGAAGTTGGTCGGTCTCGACTCTTCAGCCCTCGCCCGAGGTATAGCCCGGTCGTCGCTTGTACTCCTTCTGCTGGTCTAGGCTCAGCAGGAAGTCGGTGAAAACATGCTCGTATCCAGGCATCTTACCATACCCTGCAACCAAAAAAGATTTATCTGAGGAATTTCTAATATACTTGAAAAAAATGCCATAATGGTCCTATCCTCATTTTGCACCTACTAGCCAGATTGCGTTGACACAATGAGTTAGCTGACAGCCAGACATGGGAGGTCAACATCTCACTTCGCAGTGTATCCAAGACCGGTCATTTCTTGAGAATGCAACAAGGAACCATGTGACTTTTGGCTGCCCAAAGTAAGATTCTGATAATCCAGAATCTTCTCCAAGAAGTAATAATGTTTATTTATTTTAACAAATCCATGTGCTATTCGAAACTCATAAGCAGAAGACGGCTCAAACTGATATCAGATAAAGTAGACACTCTTGAAACAAGTTTGATCACATACCAGGAAAATAGTTCATGTCTATAACATAAAACCGATCCCTTGTCCCATGCTCTCTGATCATATCTATGTTGAATAGCCTAAGACCCTGTCAATCAGGCATACAGGTGATATTAATCATATGGCATCAAATGAAGCAGAACTAACAAGTGCAAGAATCTCTGGTACCAGTCGGCGGCGCAGCTCTCTTGCCAATATCTCAAGCAGTGGCCTTGGAGGAAGTTCTGATGCAATATGTAAAAACATCAGTTGACAAATGTACTTTCTGAAATCAATGTAGAACGGCAACATGCCAACAATTACTGTAAGACAAGAGAACCCAAGCCATGGAAGTTTACCAGCAACATGCGGGTCAAGATCTGCATCCTCCGCAGTGGCTGCAGCACAAGAGACCCTCGGAAACCGGAACACTCCGGCGTTATTTGACAGATCACCCTCATCCACGTTAGGCAGTGAGAACCTACGCACTACCCTAATTGCATCCCCAACAATGTAGACCTTAAATAAGACGCCGCCTATAAATGAGAGAAACAAAACAAAAGGTTAATACAGAACTGGAAAAATGTTCGTAGGAACGACCAGATAAAATTCAAGTACAATACCATGGTTAACAAATTCCTGAAGAACCAACGGAGGCTCAAGCTTCGTCAAGGAAGCTGCGTCATAAGCAAGAGACAACTCATGAGACTTCGCCACCAGAGGCTTCGCCACTGCACACAGTATAAGTGGTTAACAGGCCATATTGGAAAGACAAATTGCCAGGAGATTTAAAACAGACCCCAGTAATGCCAATAATTAAATACTCCAGTCAGGTAAACATTAACTCAGCTTAAATTTATGTTAAACTTCATTTCAAACAACAATGTCAAACACTCGGCGTTACTTGGAGTAATTGCATTCTGGAGCAGGCATTGAGTAACTAATTTCGAGTTGTGCCATCTAAACAAGGTATATAACACCAGTGAACTTGCTCTAGTTATGTGCTTTGAACCAGGTACAGTCCAGGTTAAGAGAAAAACTAGTCAGTGGCGCAAGCAGTCAGGTGACACGTGGAGTTGACATGCAGGAGGAGGTCCATGTCAAGCATTCTCAGGATAAACAGCCTATGCAATCAGACCCTAGAAAGGGTCAAACTGCTGCTCCTTCTGTCCAGGCCGCACAGTGGAGCCTAGAGATGTAAAGAGCTCTCACTCAATCATCGATGGGTCCAAAGGAAGGGCCCCGGAGGAAAGCTATGGCTCGAGGAGTGCCCTCATAAGCTTCTGCATATGTGCCAGTTTCTGTGGGTTCTCTTTTTTTGTTCTTTTTGTGGATTTGGGTGTGCTTGTAGGTTTGTGGATTTGGGTGTGCTTGTAGGGGTGGTATCAAAATTAAAGAAGGCCCACTTATGTTATGTGCATGATGTGAACATAAAGGGTGAACTCACGACTACTGACATAACATCTGGCGAGAAATGCAATTTTACTCTTCTGACTGAAAGATGCATTTGCTTATATCTCATCCAGAACACGGAATGCTGATTCCGGCTCAAAAAAAAGAACAGGGAGCACTCCAATCGATTTACAGAAAATCCTAGATACACCTTGGAATGATCGAGCCATACAAAAAGCATAGCAATGTCTAATGTTAATAGACCTTCATTTTTATTTTGTCTATTATTAGGTTACACGGAGAAGACCTAATCCAGTTAGTTCACCATGGATTGGATTTGTACCCTTCAAGCTATCTGTAACCTACTACCTATCCATCAAATGTACAGGCTACAGAAGTAAATACTACAACTAACATGACAATCATATGAACCGATCAACCAGGCAAGAAATGGAGGAAAGATGCTGGAAAATGAACACTTGCTCTAGCACGTACAAAATTTTCACAGAAGTCAAGAGGACAAAGCACGTCCATTCACCTGTGAGAGATGGCAATGGTGACCTGAATTTTGTTTCTATAGTACAGAGCGCCTTATGGTAGCTGAAAAGAGAAAGACTGCCCTTATAAGGCAGACTTACCTAATGGAAGCGATAGCCCAGCCCTCATAACCGCAGCTGGTATTGACAATGGGTCTGTGTTAACAAATAGCTGCTTCGGAACACCAACTTTACCTGCAAAAATCAACTGCACATGGTGATCAAATCAGCCTTTGAGAAGGTTCCAAGAACCAACCCATTATATCAAAGCTACTGACAGTGGAGGGAATTTTCGATGAAAGCAGATAAAAGTTTACTGCCAATTTAAGTGTGCCAATTTAAGTGTGTAAAGATAAAAGATAAACAATCAAAAAGGATCACAAGCTTCAACAGTCATTGGTAAAGGGGTCAGCGTCACAAAAAATATGATAGTTCAGGTGACAAGAGAATAAAGGGTTCACGTCAGCCAAATGTACAGTACAGTGGAACACATTGCCTAATACTGCATTTAATAGCATATCATATACGCTTAACATACCCATATCATTACTTGAACTAGTATTTGCAACATGTTAATACGAGATTAATCCAAATATAATGAACTTAATTTGTTCAACCAGAAAAGGCAAGTGAATTTCTGTATAATCATAGTAAGGATGATGGGTTACTTCCAAACATAAATTAGAAGAAAATTCATAAAAAATACCATGACAATCCGCAAGGTCCAGTTTAGAAACTTCTTGAAGCATAGATTGGCGGTTCAGCAAATGTTCTATGGCACCTGGTGGGTCAAGAACAGTAACTTCTGGGTGTGTCTCTCTATATTCCTATCAAAATGATGCAAAACCATCAGCGGAAGTTTAAAATGATAAAAGGACAGAATGTGCATATAATATTTAAATAACCATATTGAAAATGTCTTACAAAGATATTGAACATGTCTCGCAAAGAGAAGTTCAACAGTGGTTTTAACATATTGTATGCTACTGACCTCCAACCGTCGTTGCCACTCCTTTCCAGTCAACTGTAGAAAATACAATTTTATCATTTTGTCGTCAATGAATAAGAAAATGCTTTTCGCAAAAAAAAAAAGGAAATCTCAGAGAACAATACTAAAAGTATAACATTCCCTTGACATAAAATACATGGGTAGGAGCTAAATATACTCCGTATAGCTACCTTATGCAGAATAACATCAAAAGGGCCTTGATCTGACAGTGGAAGCTTTTGATCAATTGCAACAAATTGAATGCCTTTCTTCCTGCATTAATTTTGCAAGGATGAGAAACAAATAATCTGGAAAATCTAACAAATAAGTAAGTCTGCAGCACCAGTTGCTCAACGGAAGCAATTGGCGGCTAGCCAACACTTCAACATATTAATCCAAGTTATAAAATTACAACTTAAAAGCATTAAACCTAAAGTAATGCAAATATTTAAAGTCTCCAACCTCTTGTATGTTAATAAGTACCCAGACAACATAAATGAGCAGTAAATTGTCTTGAAATGAATGTTTACAGGTTATATTTTATTGAATATTATATAAGATAGATGAACCTGGTTTAATGATAATTATATTAGAATGAATTTTTAGTCCACACTGAGCATTAGTGATGTGCTGATTTGCATGATAGAAAGGTAATGCACATGTTAAATCATGTGGATCCTTTAACTATTGTCAGAATCTTATCATGCTGGACCTATACTATTTTCATATTCGGCAATCCACATCCTGCTCTGGTCCTAGTGATGTGAGGATGGCACAAGCTGACAAGTAAAAAAACTGAGCATGTAACTGCAATTTGCAAATTGATGACATATTCTAGATCTCTGGTGTATTTAAGCCAACTTGGAACCCTGCAGTTGCTTACCATACACACTTGGTCACACCAGTCAATAACTCGAACATTTTGTAATAAGGTTAGACACAATTACTCGAATAATGTCAAAACAGTGCATTTCAGTGGCAGCTTCCTGTATTAGTTCAGGGATCTACTTAATTTACAGTTTAGTGAATAAATTAAGAAAGGGTCACTACTGGAAGCGAATATAATATCACCATAAGACCGGGAGTGCATCGATGTCACTATCCTATCCCAAAGAAAACAGCATCAATACAAAGACGTGCTTGAATAGACTAATTTCAGTCAGTGCGCACAATGATTCCACAAAAATGAGACTCCGATTCATTGATTGAATAAATGGGTGTTTTAAAATTATCTGAAATTGCTGGTAACTACTGAAACAGGTGTCAAGAAAGCCTCCATAATGCACAATAAACCAAAAATAAAAGCCTATAAAGCATACCGTGCAAGGTAAACAAAGCAGATGATACTCTAATGGATATCACGATCGGGAGTATCAATCAAGAAACCCTTTTCACCACCTTTTGGACTATAACTTGACAAAAACGTTTTCCCTCTTTTAATCCTATTTGAAGCTAAAGCATTCCCCTCCCTTTTGTGCTCAACAGCTTTGTAATCTCTTTAACTCAGACTAACAATTAGTGGGTGGGACAACAATAAGCACTAGCCATTTCCGTCCCTAAGCAGAGCAAAGAAGGGGGACCGTGTGCCCGGAATCTTCTCCAGTCAAGAACAGAGGTCAATGAACGAGGTGTTAATTAACGCAATAACATTAAGAAACGATATATGTATCATTCAGTAAGTTCTCCTCTTGGTTACGGAGTGACCAGAAGGATCATGAATTTCCGCTGTATATCTTCCAAATTGTGCAGAACCTGGACAGGATAATTTTTCCTGTTCCGTCCAACTCACAAGGACAAACAACAGGGGCCGTCTGACCAAGCGCTTTTCCCCCAATGCAGGACATGCTAATCATCTCAAAAAAGCAATCGGCGCATTTCCAAACAAATCATCTCTCCGCACCTAGATGGACTCGAAACAAACGCGACCGGACGAATCTACAGGCGACGTCGTCGGTACCTGGCGAGCCCCCGGAGCTTGGGCTGGAGGAAGCTCTTGGCCTTCTTGGACGTGAGCGCGTACCCGACCACCAGCTCCCTGGCGCGCGCGGGCGCCGTCGCCGGCATCACCTGCTCCTCCGCCGCTACCGCCGCGGACTCCTCCGGCTCCGCGCCCCCTTCCGTCCCCACGCACCCGCCCGACACCATCGCCCCCGCGCCGGCGCTGAACCAATTGGCCGGCGGGATCGGAATGCGGCGAGCGCACTCGGGAACAAGCGGAGCGGAGGCGGAGACAGGTGTATGTGTGTGCGTGCGCGTGAGGGCGCCGTGTGGAGAGAGAGAGAGGGAGAGGGGAGGAGGAAGAGAGAGAGAGGTGGGGATGGGGGGCGTGTGCGTATTTGTAGGTGGAGGACGGGAGCAACTTCGCCTTTGGGACATGGAAACAAAGTGTCGCCGGATTACCGTTTTGCCCCTGGCTTTTTTCTGCTTATTTTCTTGGTGTTTCCATGTGGATATTTTTCTCAACTTTGTTTTGGTTAAATATTTTCTCAGTTTCTTTGTGCTTAAGGTTTCTCTTTGCTTAGCTAGCCAACAGACATACTCCCTTTGTTTTTTTTACTCCGCGTATTAGGTTTGGTCAAAGTCAAGCTGAAAAAATTTATAGACAAAAATATTAACATATACAATAATAAATCAGTACCAATAGATTTATTACTGAATGTACTTCCACTTCATATAGATTTGTTATGGTAAATATTTATATTCTTTTCTATAAACTTGGTCAAGTTTTAATAAATTTGACTTCAGCCAACTCTAATATGCGGAGTAAATAAAAACGGAGGAAGTACAAGGGAAACGCCTTAACTTTTATTTTATTTTTTGCGGGTTCGAAACGAAATGTGTGGATAAAGCAGTGAAATAAAACCTCCAGATTGCGTGTATCTAAGCATCCCTCGAGTGACTATGGCTCACGCATCCTGTCGGCACGTAATATAACTAGTAATGTGCACGTGCAACGCGCGTCCAATTTTATAGCATGTCGAGGGGCTTTACATAGTCGCCACCCACTGTGACGATTCTCTCCATTCGTTGCACCAATGTTGTCTAATGTTTGTCCATTCTGGAATACCTACCGCGGCATCCTCATTTCTCCACTCAAAGAATGTGGTGCACCCTTCGGTCTCACTCCCCAGTGCAGCAAGGTCCTGGCTCACGACATATGGGTAGTCAAGGCGATGTTGCTTCGTAACTACTCTGATCTCACCTTGCATGCATCACTGCTTGGATGGCTTGACCGCATACTCTTGCTGGATCTTGAGAGTTTGGTGAGGCATACTGTCCATAATTATATACTCCCTCCGTTCCTAAATATTTGTCTTTCTAGACATTTCAAATGACTACTACATACAGATGTATGTAGACATATTTTAGAGTGTAGATTCACTCATTTTGCTCCGTATGTAGTCACTTGTTGAAATGCCTAGAAAGACAAGTATTTAGGAACAGAGGGAGTACATCGGTGTGGGAAGACTCTTCCACCCGCCCTTCTTCTTCAAAATATTGGTTGTGGCTTGGTACGATTGAGGGGATATAAAGCATTAGAGCATGCCATTACGAAGAATATTTATGTAATTAATGTCATTTTGCAAGATTAATTAGAATTAATGCAATTAATGATGTTTCTGAGAGCAATTACAATTAATGTTATTTTTAGTTTTATTGGAATGGCATGAGACGTTGGACATAGGTGATTGGATGGTTGAGATCATTTGGATTCACCAAACTCGTGATATTATAAATAGTAGTCAAGTAGACAATATATATATTTGCATTTACATTACAACTTTGCTGTGTGAATATAAGTGTCACGATCACCTTTCTATAGTGAAGGTGGCTAGTCGAAGATGGAAATTCATGGAAAAAACAACCATCGGTTGGATGGTTTAGGAGAGTGGTTATATCTATAGGATTCCATGGATTAAAACAACTTTTTGTGTCTCATTAAAGTTAATATTTTTTTCAATGTGGGGTGATGTTTCCAGCAATAACAAAGCATTTATATTGACTTCGTCGATCTTGATCTCCACGACTCTAGTCATCGGCACTCAACGTGTCAATGTTTTTATGTGTCATGCTCGGGTTTCTAGCGGAACTTCTCCCAAACGAAGCACGACGCTGAATTACCTAGTGTTATGCATAGAAGGAACTAAACATATTTTTTGCAGGAAAAAAATTGAACAAATTGAAATTGAGTTGTGCGACCGGCACAAGCTATGATTTAGTCCAGTTATTCAGTATGACACCATAAATCAAGATGGAACATATTAAATATGTAACACCGTATTTGGATTTAGCCATTTGTAATCATATAAGCCTTTGTTTTCTTTTTTAGAAAATAATGACATGATTTTGAGCCTTTTGTCAAGTTGAATTATGTTGTCCACAAAACTAGAGCGGATTATTGGAACCTAGGCATGTACGATCCCATATATGAAATTTCGGCCATAAATACATTATTTATGTTTCAAAAAATACGAAAAAAACACCATGTATATAAAGAATGGATGCATGATTAGAACCTAGTCATGTATGCATTGTACCTAGATTTGTATTAAAACATGTCCCAAAAGAAGCACGATGTTGAATTACCTAGTGGTATGCCCAAAAGAAACTAAATATTTTTTCTAGGAAAAACTAGAAAAATGATTTGTGTGATGGCACAAACAATCATTTACTCCAATTATTGGTATGACAGCATAACTCGAATTTTTTTCTTTTGATGGGACATACTCAGTGGCGGAGCTACATTGGGGCCAACCCGTGCTTTGGCCCGTCCATCTCAGGCAGAACACTGCCCAGCTAGCCTGCTAACTGACTTGCCCATCTCTTTTCTATGCTTTTCTCTTTACAATGGCCCACCCAACTAATCTAATGAAGCTCCGCCACTGGACATACTATTAGACTTGTAGCATTGTGTTTGGTTTTAGCTATTTGTAATCTTATGTGCTTTTGTTTTCCTTTTTAGAAAATAATCATATGAAACTGCCTTTCGTCCGTTTGAATTATGGTGCCCACCGAACTAGAGCGGATTTGTAGAATCTAGGCATGTATGATCTCTGCAGGAAATTTCACTAAAAACACATTATTTAAGTCTTAAAAGTAAAAAACCATGTATGTGGATAATGGACACAAGTATGTACATATAAACTCCGAAACTGTTTTTTTTGCGGGGATAAACTTTGAAACTTAAAGCATGATCATTTGCGTCGTATGCAAAATTCCCAAAATGGTCAAGAAACAGTGCGAGTTACTGCCAAAACATCCAACTTGTGATTTTTGCACGGCCATGTTTAAGTTTCATAAGTTTCACTACGAAGGCGTCTGTAGCGACTGCATTAATCTCAAGATGATGTGACGGCTCAGTCTCTCGTAGATGCTCATAAGGGTAGGGTATGTGTGCGTGTGTTAGTTAATAGGGGCGAGTGTATGTGCGTATGTATGGCACTGTGTTTAAAAAAAAAGTGTAAACGCACATACTCGGGTCTATTCTCTACATGCCCATTTTCGTTTAAAAAGATAAACTTAAATAATTTGTTTTGGGGCCGAATTTCCGTCTCCGTGGCTTCTGATCGGCAGGGTTCAGAACATCCCCTCTCTCGGGGTCCAGCTTGTCCGGAAGAGGTTCAACGAGGAAGCTGCCGCTGCCACGGGGTGGGTATCCTAGAAGCAATCGCCAGCGCTTCTTCTGATCTTCTCTCGTGATTTCGTGGACGTCTCCTCCCCGAGTTCATGCAAATCCGTCGCCATGGGAGTTTTTCGAATAAAGTCGCCATGGGGGTTCATGCAAATCCGTCCACACCCATCTCTCCACACGAGGAGCACCACGCTAGCTAATCCATATCCGTCGGCTAATGAGAGATTGAGAGTTGACCAGAGCTGCAACCTGCAATATCCCTGCAGCTGCAATTCCTCCCAAGTGGCTCGTCCACTCCCGTCTCACATCTCGTGCTAATCCCTACCGCCTCCAGCTGCTTCGGGTTGTCTCTGACGCGCATGTGACGTGGGTGCCAAGCATCATGCATGGCATGGCTTGAAACGGAAGTGCTCCGGAGCTTCAGGGTTTAGCAACATACCACCATCCAGATAAGAAAAACCTACTCCCTCCGTTCTGAATTACTTGTCTTTGATTTGTCTAGATACGGATGTATCTAGACTCATTTTAGTGCTAGATACCTTCGTATCTAGACAAATCTAAGACAAGTAATTTGGAACGGAGGGAGTAGCTGGTAAGATGAGGGCGAGCTGTTCACCAGGAGATATCGATCATAGGATTTTAAATGATTAGATTCCCACATCCTTCTCCCGAGCATCTGGTGGTAAAGAAGAAGGGTCTGCTGCAGAGACGTGAAGGTGACTGCACAAAATGACAGGGATTTTTAAGTTCACGTGGACCTGCTGGATGTTATCGCAAGTTATCTCAAAGAATGAGACGGCAGAAGACGTAGAGCAGCACCATGTGTTTCACACAATAAGATCTTCAGACGTAGAGAAATTATGGGCCCACAACACACCGCCATCAAGATCTTCAGATGCGATTCGCATGAAGAATGATGAGGCAAACCGGCCGTCCGGACTTCAAGAACGGAAAACCATCCAGAAAATAAAGGAGGAATTCAGAGTGGAAAGGGGAGTGTCTGACACTGTAAACCTGTCATTTCCCTGTTCTTTTACTGAACGCGAGGAGGTTTAGTTCTATACTGCCGCCTTATATTCAAAAAAATGGCCTGTGCGGTTGTGAGTTTCTTTTCGCCTGAGTAGTTAGTTCGTGTTATGTTTGTATTGGTTTCGGCCCGGTTTTCCGTTAATTAACTGGGCAATTCTCTTCTTCTTAATTCATCGATGAGGCAAAACTTTTGCCTCCGTTTCGAAAAAAAAATGGCCGCAGGGTTCGGCGGTAGGTAAACCTGTGAGATTTAGCAAAAGGTGGAACTGCTGCACCAACTCACGATGTTTATCAGATGGCAACATCGCATTGCCATCGTACCCCTGGGAGCAGGGAGGGGGGCTGGGCTGTGGACCGGGAGAAGAGCAGCGAGTGGCACAACAAATATCTCGGCGCACAGGGAGATTTGACCTCGCCACGCCCACAGGATGCCTATCTCCATCCCGTTCATCTTTTTCTGAGGTGGGCAATCATCAACAAGAAGCATGCATATCCACTCTCTCAAAGTTAGGTCACATTCTTGTGGACGGATAGGAAGGGGATCAATCAGGAGCATGAGAACTGAGGCAAAACAAACCTGTTTCTTGCTTAAACTATGCCGATTAAACTATGCTCTGATTAGTGACTACTAAAGAACTATACTCTAGCCTCTAAGGCTAAGCCATAGCTGGGACAAACCGTGGGAATACAATACTAGCCTGGGTGGAGCTCTCATAGAAACACTAATGTGCTGCGGCACACTGATCGCTGATGCGCCGTATGTGAACCTTCACAAGAGGCTGCCTGCAGGGATATTGGTCCATGGCCGAAAGTATTGATCGGCAAGTTTGCTGGCGCCCACGATTCCGCAAGCACGCGACGTGATGGAAGAATAGGGCATCGCGGCATCTTTGATATTTCTCTGAACTGTCGGGGTCTCGAGAAATGCACGGACGTGAAAGAAGAGTGGTAGAAATGCTTTATGGGAGGTCAGTCTCAGTACTTGACAACAACTAAGCAACCAGGAAAAACGGCACATGTTTCAGGCCCGCATAGTACAAGCGCAAGAGAGAAAGCAATAGGTCAAGGGTATATCACCATACAACCGACAGCGAAAGCTACAGGCACTAGACGTATAGGCTTGGAGATGGGACGATGACTGTTTTGGTGGTGCCAATCAGAGGTTCTACGCAAACTTTTGTTGGAGACTTAGTTCAGACCAGATGCAGGGACTACAGACGGCTATGCAGTTCAGCTCACTTGTTACAGGCGTAGGACTTGACTGGAAGCTACAGCAGATATCAGGGAGGCACGACACAAGACGAAGAAACAATATAAACGAGGGATTATCCAGGCGACAACACCAACCAAATTACACGAAGAAACAATGCAGATACTGAAACAGGGAAATGGTGATGGACAGCAGCAGAGGCTATGGGTGTAGGCAAACCAGATAACATGCATATTGACCAAGGTGCGAAGCAGGTTCAAACATACCACAGGTTCATACAACACAACAGGTTGTAAACCAAACACCACACAGCAAACATTCAAACAGACAGACAACAGATAAAGCCGCTTGGGCAGATCACAGGATAGTAGTAGACGAAGGGACGCTTGACGTACATCAGGTCGCAAACTCATCTGCTCTAGTACTCATCACCCTCATCACCGTCCTCGCCCTCGTCGAACTCAGCGCCAACTTCTTCATAGTCCTTCTCCAGGGCAGCAAGATCCTCACGGGCCTCAGAGAACTCACCCTCCTCCATGCCCTCACCCACGTACCAGTGGACGAAGGCACGCTTAGCGTACATCAGGTCGAACTTGTGGTCGATGCGGGAGAAGACCTCGACAACGCTGGTGGAGTTGGAGATCATGCACACGGCCCTCTGGACCTTGGCGAGGTCGCCGCCTGGGACGACGCTGGGTGGCTGGTAGTTGATACCACACTTGAAACCAGTGGGGCACCAGTCCACAAACTGGATGGTGCGCTTCGTCTTGATGGTGGCCACAGCAGCGTTGACATCCTTGGGCACAACATCACCACGGTACATGAGGCAGCAGGCCATGTACTTGCCGTGGCGGGGGTCACACTTGGCCATCATGGAGGAAGGCTCGAAGGCGCTGTTGGTGATCTCAGCGACAGAGAGCTGCTCATGGTAAGCCTTCTCAGCTGAGATCACTGGGGCATAGGAGGAAAGCATGAAGTGGATCCTCGGGTAGGGCACCAGGTTGGTCTGAAACTCGTTCACATCAACATTCAGAGCACCATCAAACCTCAGGGAAGCAGTCAGGGATGAGATGACCTGCAGATTGGTTGTTCCACAATGCATTAGATCCCAATATAACATGACTAGACAGTGCAACATATATCATACATCAAACAGAAAACAAACATGTACTAAGCAGAAACAGGGCTATACCTGAGAAACGAGCCTATTGAGGTTGGTGTATGTTGGGCGCTCAATGTCAAGGGAGCGGCGGCAGATGTCATAGATGGCCTCATTGTCAAGGAGGACAGCCACATCAGTGTGCTCAAGGAGAGAGTGGGTGGACAGGACACTGTTGTATGGCTCAACAACAGAGGTGGAGACCTGAGGGGATGGGTACACTGTGAACCCAAGCTTGGACTTCTTTCCATAGTCAACAGAGAGACGCTCAAGGAGAAGAGAACCAAGGCCAGAGCCAGTTCCACCTCCAACAGCGTTGAAGACAAGGAACCCCTGGAGACCAGTGCAGTTGTCTGCAAGCTTCCTGATACGGTCAAGGCATAGGTCAACAATCTCCTTGCCAACTGCACAAATGGCACCAAAAGTTAGCCAGATGATCAGCAACAGTGATAATTTGTATCATTACACACAGAGTGCACTACACAAGACAAGCACGGCACTTACTGGTGTAGTGACCACGGGCAAAGTTGTTGGCTGCATCCTCCTTGCCACTGATAAGCTGCTCAGGGTGGAAGAGCTGGCGGTAAGTGCCAGTCCTCACCTCATCAATCACAGTGGGCTCAAGATCAACAAAGACCGCGCGGGGGACATGCTTCCCAGCACCAGTCTCACTGAAGAAGGTGTTGAAAGCATCATCACCTCCCCCAACGGTCTTGTCACCGGGCATCTGTCCATCAGGCTGCACAAGGGGGATTAAACAGTGTTAAATGTGCGAAGCTAAATATACTGAATTTTGTAGCAACAGAACAGGAAAACATTCACAAAACAGTTTGAATTACAGATGAATTCATAGCAACAGAACAAGAAAACATTCACAAAACAGTTTGCATTACAGATCAATTGATAGCAACATAAGTATTGTAACTAATTAGAGGTGCATTTCCATATGAGCAGGCAATGTACATACCAGAAACACCAGCGAGGATATAACACGATATGCATGAACAGATATCACCGTATCTAGCAGATTTCGAACAGATCTAAATGGTACAAGACAGGACATTTCAAACAAACGAGTGTGTGCCAATCGGTGATGCTTGCAACATAATAATAATGGATCTACGTCATGGGAGCGTCGAATGTAACAAGTAACAGATCAAACAGGTCATGTCCCTCTACAATATCTACATTCTTATCTATCAATTTCAGAATAATGAGTTCAATTTAGAGGACACTGATCAGATCTACCACATGAACAAACAACACAACCCGAAGCAGGTGAAAATTGCATACAGAATTGCAACCGCTCTGTGATCAAGTGAACTGCAGCACTATACAAGTAAATCTACACCTTAAAATTCAAATTCGAACCATCTGGGATCCAGTGAACTGCAGCGCTATACAAGCAAATCTACACCTAAAATTCAAATTCGAACCGTCTGCGAAGCAACCGAGACCAACAGAAGCAACCTCATGCACCCTACATTCCGTCAGATCTAGAATTCCCCTTCCAGCAAACGCAGATCAGACCAGCCGCAGTCAGATCCACGCCCAAATCCGACCGAGCACGCCCAGCAACCACCAGAACCCCCGGATCTAGCGCGGATCTAACGCGAAGCATGGCAGAACAAGCTGGGGAAGCGAGCGAATCGGTACCTGAATGCCATGCTCGAGGCAGTAGAGCTCCCAGCACGCGTTCCCGACCTGGATACCGGCCTGGCCGATGTGGATCGAGATGCACTCCCTCATGGCGGCGGGTCGGAGCGGCGGAAGCCGGCGCTACGCTGCGCTGGTGGAGAGATCGGGGGAGGAGGGGAGGACGGAGGCCAAAGCTCGGAAGCGCGAGAGAGAGGCGAGTACGAAGACGCCGGTCTCTGCGATGCTCTGCTTAGGGTTTCCGCTGCCCACACTCGGCTCGTTTTATAGCGCCGCACAGGCTGGACTGGATGGAGTGCGGGCGAAGGGATGGGATGGGCGTTTTTGCATCCGCGCCCTCCCGAATTACTCGGTGCCGGCCAACGGTCGGGTGGTTGGGTTGGGTCAGCCTGTCATGTACCGTTCCGGGAATATGTGGAATCTGAGGGGGCTTGGTGGAATTGTTTGCGCCGAGAGCACGCTTTTTGTTAGCACTTGGGCAGAGAGATTACCCGCCTGCTGCGCTCCTGACGTGTGGGTCCAGGGTTTGTTGCTGGGCGTGTGCGCGCTCGTGGGTGCGATCGGGCTGGGTTGATGTAGTAAGAGATTGGCATTTTTCAAAATATGAAAACAGTCGGTTGGTAGCGGGGGCGCCTCGTCCAGTCATCCTCGTTGGTGAGACTGAGACACCACCGGCGCTGTTCCCCACGACGGGATGTCTCGCCTGCGCCGTGGGCCGTGGCGTGTGGTGGGGAGATGAGCCGTCCGGTGCGCGGGGGGTGGTTGGATGGACGGTTCCATTCCACCGTTCGCGCCGTCGTGGGGAGTCGGGCAGGTTCGAGTAGTTTCGATTTTTGAAATTGGGGAGCGGGAGAACCAACGGCGAGCGCTGCGTGGATCTTCTGCGGAGCCTCTTCGGCCCCTGTGGCACCGCCGTGAATGGCCGTGGTGGACGTACTCTCTCCGTCCCATAATATAAAAACGTATTTTAAACTAGTCTAGTGTCAAAAACGTTCTTATATTATGAGACAGAGGAAGTATATGTTTTCTCTCGAATACGCATGAGTGTGCGTATTATTTATTTATTTATTTTGCAGGAAAGAGGATTTCATTCATCAAGTAATATGGTTATACTCAGCGGCAATGATGCTCGCGATCTCGTTGGGAGGGTTACGCAGCCAAACAGCAGTCCGCTGTTGAATACGTCCCAAGTGTGCATATTATTATATATTAAAGGAAGAGGATGGAGACAAGAATCCTTCCACATTGGCGATTACACTGTTACAGTGTTACATGTGGACCAACTCCGTCGGCACAGCCGGAAACTACTCTAGCCTAAGGCCAACTCCGGCGTGCGACTTCATCCTGTCGGGGTGTGTTCGTTTGGAGTAAAACGGACATATCAAACGGCCCAGTGCGCGACCCCATCCTCAAAAAACGTCTGTTTTTGTCCGCTTCGCTCCATCCTGGGAGTAAAGTTGGGCTGGCTTTGGGTCTGAAACGGATACGAGCGGGTGCTCTCTGCGTCATCCTCGTCCGCGGTGTGTTCTTTTGCATGTGACCCTGGCCCGTCTGTCATTGACCCACACACCCACCCACCCCTCTCTCTCTCTTCTCCTTTTATCTTCCTGGCCCACCACGCACACACACCACCACGAGGCTAAACAGTCGCGGGCCCCGAGGAGCACGCTGTGCTCCAGCCGGCCGGCCTCGCCTGGCCGTCAGAGGCCCCACCGCCATGGCCTTCAGCAGCAGCTCGCCGCCGCCATGGCCGCGCGCGCTCACGTGGGGTGCGCGGACAGCGGCGAGC